TAATGAGATCTGTGTTCCTTCTAGGCCAGTGGTTCTCAGTGCTTCTTAATACCCCAACCCTTTTACAGTTCCTCTCGTTGTGGTGACCTGCCAACCATAAAATTACTTTCATTGCTAGTTCTTAGCTGTAGTTTTGCTACTGTTATCAGTCACAATGTAAGTATATGTGTTTTCCAATGGTCTTAGGTCATTCAACCCCCACCTCAATAAGTTGTCATAACCCACAGGTTAAGAACCACTACTCCAGACCCTTCCCCTATACCTACTTTCTGGGGATCAATAGATTATAGCTTAGTTATCGTTGACTTGATGGGAACATTTGTTTAGATCATCTTTGTTTCTGTTTTTATAGTGTTTGTGTTAGTTATATCTGTGATTTATCATGCTTATTGCCAGGTATTGGTTCTGCTTTGTTTGTTTGTTTTAAAGGTATTGGAATTGAGCCCAGGACTTTACACATGCTAACCTGGTTTGAAAATTGTCTATGCAATTGAAATATATCTCTAGCCGGGCGTTGGTGGCGCACGCCTTTAATCCCAGCACTCGGGAGGCAGAGGCAGGCGGATCTCTGTGAGTTCAAGGCCAGCCTGGTCTACAGAGCGAGTTCCAGGACAGCCTCCAAAGCCACAGAGAAACCCTGTCTCGAAAAAAAAAAAAAGAAATATATCTCTATATATCTAGAAAACCTAACTAACCTAACCATAACTTTTGACTATCATAGGTAACTATCTATAATCTGTACTTAATTATACATTACATTTTTAAATGAGCTATATAAACATAATACCTAAACAAGAGGAGAAATATACATATCACAAAATTTGTATCAATAAATGAAAATCCACTCCAATACCTTTTACCTTTAAAAAGAGATTGGTTGTGATCATTAACCATTTATAACCAATGCCATTTAAATGAAAACAAAAATTTATAAACAATATTTGGGGATTTGGGCATCATTCATTCCAAATTACTTCCTGCTGTTAGGGGATGCTGTCATGGGGATCATGAGAAAACAGAAACCTGGCCAAATCTTGGCTGTTGTAGTCTGTAAGGCTGTATTGTCTCAGTTGTTTTGGATGTTGGATCAACTGGGCCATTGTTTCAGGGGGTCTTGCTTCATCAAACCACATTAGTCTGGAAGGAATCCACACCTTTTTTATTTTCTGTGGAAACAAAAGAAGAAACTCTTTTCCCAAGTAACTTGTCCTTAGACTTAAATTTTGGAGTCAAAGCATTTTTAAAATATGTAAGTTGAATTAATTTAGCAGCATTTATAATTAAATGTCTTTTAGCAGTTGTTCCTTTCTCAGCAATTAAAAAATTTAAATACAAAAACATACAGTATCCAGACTCTCAGTGTAATTTTTTATGTTTATGTGGCTTATTTATTTATTTATTTATATTATAACTATTTCTTTACTATTATTTTATTATGAGACAGAGTTATTCTGTTTATTTTTGTTTGTCTTGAAATTTACACTGTAGACCAGGCTGGCCTTAAATTACAGAGCTCCACCTACCTCTGCCTCTGGAGTGTTGGGATTAAAGGTGTGAGTCACCAATGCCCAGCCATTCTAATTCTATTTTCTCCTAAGCCTACATATATTTTTAGACACACTGTAAACCCTTTTTACTTCATCTGAATCTGTCTTTATTGTAAAGCTCTATCGTTTTCTGGCCACATGAGTCTTAATCTGCTAAAAGGGCTGTGTGTAGGTTTTTTTCGACACTTATGCAAATTAGGAAACCGCTCTTAAAGGAGCCACATGAGTCTTGCTTGTCTCTAGCAAAACAGAACTCACTCAAGAGTAATATTGCTACCAAGAAGCCTTGCTTGTCTCTGTTCTTTTGTTTCTAAACTCCCTTTTTAAGTTTTTGTTAGATTTTAAGTGGGAGTTCATGCCCAAATCCGGGTGCCACTCAGTTCCACCTCAGAGCCCTCAAATAACACATGAGACATTATATTAATTATAAATCGGTTGGCCAATGTCTGGGGGTTCTTACTTGTAGTAGGTTCAGAACTGAGTGACCTGAGGTCCCTCTTTGTAGCTTCTGGGTCCTGAGGGTAGAGCTCAGCACTAGCCTTTGCCTGCTGAGCTATCTAAGGGCCCTTAGATTTTTCTTTTTTCTTTTTCTCCTTGTTGTTTTAAAAGAAACTGACCACTCATCATGCTTGTGCAAGTCTTTAACCCCAGCAGGTTCCAGGACAGCTAGAGCTATTACACAGAGAAACCCTGTCTTGAAAAACCAAACTAATAAAAGAAACTAACCTTTGAATTTATTGAATCTTTCTCTGGAATGCTAATTTATTTTGTGATATCCTACATGTGAATTGTTTCTAAACAAAATTTTGTTGGTTTCTATCATAATTCTGCAGTTGTAGAATTGTATGTCAACACTGTCTTGTATATGAGTTGCATTTTCCCCTTAGTCTCTGGTGACTTTTAAGAAATGTTTTAGTTTTTTGATTATGTGTAGGTGCTTGAGTCTGCATGTAGTCTGTGCATGTGAGCGCAGAGCCTGCAGAGTGGCCAGAGGGTTGGACCTCTTGGAGCTGGAGCTAACAGACAGCTGTCTGATGGAGGCTTGGGAGCAGCAAGTGCTCTTCACCTCTGAGCTGTCTCTCTTGCCCTGGAGACTGTTGGAAAATACAACAAATGAACTTACTAGAAAACTGAAGTCTATAAGAATGATCTATAATATTTTCAAAACATTTGGTGTCTAAGCATGGCTGGTCACTGAATGCACTTGCTGATTTCGATGTTAAGTTTGCTGAGACCTGCTGTTCTGAGTTAGCAGCTTTAAGGTTATATTCTGCCTCTGTAGGGTGGAATGTTTGTTTATGAACATCAGTTCAGTCACGTTTGCTCATCATGCTATTTGTTTTGATGGTCTTGCTCTTTCTCTAGTTGTTCAATCAATTATTGAGACGTGTGCTAACCCTTTCAATGATTGTGGAGTGTGTGTTTTTCCTTTGGTTATGGTGGTGTTTCATATGTTCTGATTTTAAGGTATTAGGTGTGTACAAAATGTTAATCTCATTTTTTTATATCATAGACTAACTTAAAACAGTGAAATCTCTATTACCACATTTTGCCTTAAAACAGTTTTCCTGTGATAATTAGCTTAGCAATACTCACTTTATTTTTATTGATATGAATTTTTATATTATTTTAAAACAAAGCTTCCTTTAACCAATATCTACTGGGCTGATGCTTTTTAATAATAAACCATATCAGATAATCCACAAATAAATATAAGATTTTTACTCTTATGTGCTCTTTTTTGTTTATTTGTTTTCTGTTATGAGCCTATAGTGGCTTATAATTTAAATATTTGGAATGTATATTGATCAATTAAATGTTATAGCTAAGCTTAGTTACTATTTTAATATTTTTTAGAGCACACAAAGTCCTTGCTAACTCCAACATTTAAGCAGTGACAAAGATGAGCCTTGCATGCTCCAAGGTCATTTTTAGAGATAATCATGAAATCTACTTATGGGGTTATGAACTTCCTTTGTAATTCTCATTGTATATTCAAGGTCACTGTGTGGTATATTCCTTAAATGTTTACCATGTTTCATATCTTGATATGAAAATGTCAGTGGTATCCTCAAAGACAAAAACTCTACTGCAGCCCCATATTTGTTGGTTACTTTTCCTGCTTGTTTTTTTCTTCATAAAGTGGTGGGGTGGTACCAATAGCCAGAACAGTTTCTATCTACACTGTCTAAGTACTTTTGACTTCTTAAAAGTTGTGAGGCATGAGATATTATCAGCAGCCAATGATAGTTTGTACTTAAAAGAAAAATACAAAATAAAAACAGACTAGAAACTGTAATATGATTGTTAACTCAAGCATTAAGCAATGGCAATATTCTAGAATAGAAATTAGAATTGTGAGGTGTAACTTTAATATGACAGTTTGGGAATGTTTTTGTATATCAAATAAGCATTGTTTATGATTATAATGATTCTGTATTTGAAATTCACCTCAACTTGCTGCTTGCATTAAAAATAATAGATCACACTCTAAAAAAGAACTGACTTAATTTTATTTGAGAGTATTGTAAATCCAAGGCTACATTGTAAATGTTGAAATAGAATCATTGCAGAGGACAGGGAGAATTTCTCCTAGCATTATTTTTATTATCACTCAGTTATTAGTGTTGGTTCATTGATCTTAGGAAGTATGATTCTTAGCACTACATATTGTATATTTGCCATATAACCAAGTGTTCACTTTGTGAAATTATGATAAGACATGAAACGAATCTCTTAGATGGACTTTCCTCCTTCTTAAAGGTAATGTTTATTGCTTTTAAGATGTAACTGTGTTTGCTTAATCATATACTTAGCTTTGGAAAATATTCTGGCCAAATGTCTATATGGTAACTATATAAGCAGTATTTTTCAGCTGATTATAACTCATGTAGAAGAATGCAAATATATCTATATCTATCGCCCTGCAAAAAAAACTCAAGTCCAAGTGGATCAAATACCTCAACATAAGTCCAGTTACACTGAACCTAACAGAAGAGAAAGGGGGAGCAGTCTTGAACTCATTGGCAATAGGAGACCACTTTATAAATAGGACACCAGCAGCACAGAGACTGAGATCAACAATTAATAAATGGGACCTCAGAAACTGAAAAGCTTCTATAAGGCAAAGGATACTATCAATAAGACAAAACCACAGAATGGGAAAAGATATTCACCAACCCCGATCTGACAGAGAGCTGATCTCCAAATATATATTTTTCTCAGAAATTGTATTTTGACTGATGAGTACCTACAATGTTTCACTAAATAAGTTCATTTTGTGCTTTTTTGATTTCTGGCAAGCATATAAAATCGTTTGTCAGAAGACAAATCTGTGAGAAAATACCTGAATTATAGTTGTTTTTGTTGTTGTTGTTGTTATTGTTTTTCCTGTATTGAATTTTTAAGATGTCAGTATAAACCTTAACCATTCATTCCTCTTTGTCTTCCCAGGTGGATCTCCTTACTTAGCATCCAAAATAAATGAAGCAAAGGACTTGCTAGAATCATCCACCAAACTTAACTGATGCTGAAAGATCCTTCTGAGGGAAAAGGAGATGCAAGGCTCTAAAAGTTCTACAGAAGAATGTGGAGCATGGTTTTGCTTCATATTGACCAACTCTGTTCTTCTGTCATTAAGTGTGCAGCAATAAAAGACATGCACCTTGCTCTTCATTCCCTTTGAGTGGGACTCATACATTCTGTAGCTGGTCCTTCCCACATTATCTCATATGTAACATTATACTTCAAAGACGCTGGTCATGTTCGTCTAACTCCTCTCTGCCCCCGACACACAGAAAGGTGTGACCATCATGATGGCCTTGGGATTTGTGAGCAGAGTTGAAGTTTTCTTCTCAGTATGTATGCATATGTCCTCATTGTCCCTTGCTTTAGAAAAATTTAGGACTGTTTCAGTGCCAGGGGCTTTAAATGTTTTGAGACCAAGCAGTAAATGCTGCCTAATGGGGAAAAGACCCAAAATGTCTGTAATTTACTAAACAGTGATTTGTGGGCAGTAGCTGGGACTTTAAAGGTAACTCTGCTCCCTGAGACCCTATAGCTGTGGCTTAAGCATGAGGACTTGGAGAGTCACTGACATGATGAAGGATTTAAAAAACTAGCTCGATGAGGAAAGGCTGGAAAGAGCTGGGAGAGATCTAGGCATCTAATCACAGTCTTCCTATACTGTATATCTATTCAATAATTCATTCTGTGAATGTGTAAGGTACTGTAGTGGATCCTCTGAGAGCCATATGTATGAGCTAGTCATGGATCCTGACCCAGAAGAAGTTTTGTATATAAAAAAGATAAATCATTTAAGTAATGAATATTATTAGACAGGTGCAGATCATATGCTAATGAAGTTCAAAGAAGAAAGTGGACGATAAAAGGGCTAGCCAAAGAAACCCACTTTGACCAACTGACTCCAGAACCAACTCTGCCCCTGGCCAACTGAAACACAAAACCAACCAAGACTAACCAATCCCTGTGCAGAAATACCTCTCCCTGGAAAAACTCCACCCCCAAGAAGCACTATATGAACCCATCTGCCTGTTCAGTTGTTGGCTGTCCTTTCTGCCCTGACAGAGGCAGTCATTCTCCTGGATCCTCCTTCCCAAGTAAATCTCTTTCTCAAAAGAGTCTTGGGTGGAGATCTTCATTTACTGGTGCAGAACAGAAGAACTTGCTGAGGGCTGGAGGGATGGCTCAGCTGTTAAAGGCTAGGCTCACAACCAAAAATGTAAGAACTTGCTGAGACTTTCTTTCCATTAGGAGGACTGAGCAAGTTTCAGAAGAACAGAAGGAATGTGCTAGGACGTTCCCTTAGGGGGTTGGGCAAGTTTGTAGCAGAAAAGTAACTTTTTGCCTGAGCCGGAGGAGATTGCTACATTTCTGCAAGGGCTTCTGCTCCAGCAGACTGTAGCCGAAGAAGCAGCCCTTAGCTCTGCTAGGATATCCTCAAGGGAACAGAGCAGAGCTCAGCTGTAACAGCCCTCCTAGGGCTATATCCTAAGGGGAGACCATCCCCACCACACCCCAGCCTCAGATAGCCTGACTTCCTGATGAGTCCTGACACCTTTCTCTTCAGGACTGAGCTATCCTATTGCAGCCTCCAGAGCTGTCCTAGTTAGCCTGTATTTATATCCTGGCTGCTTCCTCTCCCCGGGTCCTGGGCAACCTGGCCCTGATCCTTTCCTTCTCCTGCCCTGTGCTTTCTCCTCGGCATCTGCCTAACACCCCATGCCCAGCCCTCTCCTGGGCCTGGACCTTCTTGGGGAACATTTCCTGGCCGTGGCACCTCTCTAATCCTCGGGTTCTCTCCCAGCCCCGGGATCATTCTCCAAGCGATCTTCCCTCGCTCGGGATCTGTCCTCAATGAGTGATCCCTCCTCACCGTGCTCCTTGTTGACATCCTGACATTATGCTAACAGCTCAAAGGCTGTCAAAGGTTGCATGGCTAAGTCGTGCATGCGTTAAGTGACTGCATAAGGACTCTGTATGCAGAAACCTTGTAGAGCTGAGACCATGTGGAGCTGGGCCAAGGGCAGCTCCATGACTCCAGCTTCAAGGGCCCCAACTGCTGAGCCTCATTCTAAACCACTCCTTTCCCTTCTTAAGCAAGCCCCTCCCTCCTGTCCTTTCTCTTCCCATTTTTGCTCCCTATTAGTTAACACCTACCCCTCCCTTCTCTCCCTTTCCCAATAAATTCCATGTGGTTTTGTTGAGTTTGGTGGTTCATGTTTCATCACCCGAAGCTGCAGCAAAGGACAAAGCCCGGCCTCCAGATAAGTCAGGACTGCTTTGCAGCTCCAGAGCTGTAACACTCACACTCACTCACATTTTAGTGCTGAAGCTGGGCACTCCCACTTGCTTACAGAAAATGAACTTTAAATCTCAGTCAGTACTTGAGAGAGTCTCCCTGGAACAAATGATAGAACCCTGGGCTTTAAGAGAAAGAAAGAAAAAAGGGAAGGAAGGAAGAGAGAAAGAAACACAAAATGCCATGTAATATTATTTTTCCTGGAATGAGAATTAACAGAAATAGACATCCATTACTGTGACTAGAGTGAAGGGTTTCTTAAAAGTAGTACATGATAGACAGTTGTGAAAGGCAAGCCGTGTAACTTAGTGTGTACGAGTCACCCCAGAAGTTGCTTGGAGTCTCCTTCATTTCACTTTCCTACCAAGCTTGTCCCTAACCTTGAGAAGTTACTTAGTTTATGGGTCTATAACTGTCTTAGGGTTTTCATTGCTGTGAGCAGACGCCATGACCATGGCAGCTCTTATAAAGGAAAACATTTAATTGGGACCGGTTTACAGTTTTAGAGGTTTAGTCTATTATCATGGTGAGAAACATCGCAGTGTACAGACAGACATGGTACTGTAGAAGGAGCTGACAGGTCTACATCTTCATCTGTAGGCAGCAGAAGGAGATTGTACCACACTGGGCATAGCTTGAGCATATGAGACCTCGAAACCCACCCCCTCAGTGACACACCTCCAACAAGGCCACACCTTCTAATAGTGCCTCAAACACATGAATCTATGGGTGCCATTCCTATTCAAACCACTACAATAACCCCCTCATCTATAAATTAGGAAATAGTCCTATCCAGGAAGATGGTTGTAGAGAATAAAGGTATATAACTAATCTAGTCACGTAGTAAATGTTTAAAATATGAAGTATTCTTTTACTGTCTGAGCAGGCTTCCTAGAACTGCCAGCCCCTGAATCATGACGGAGACTCACTATTAGTTATGAATGTTTGATCTTTTACTTGTCTCACTAGCTCTTATAACTTAATTTAACCTTCTCTTCATCTACATTTTGCCATGGGCCGTTTTACCTTTCTGTATGTCCTGCTTCCCTGCTTCCCCTGTGTGCCTGGCTGGCAGCTGCTGCCTGGCTAGCTGGCTCCAGGTGTCCCCCTTTCTCCCCCTTTCTCTTCTCTGTAGCCTAGAATCTCCTACTTATTGTCTCTGCCAACCAGCCCTGTCTATCCCCCTAGCTATTGGCCGTCAGCTTTTTATTAAACCAATCAGGTGCCTTACAGTATTTACATAGTTAAACAATGCAGCATAAACAAATACATAGTCAATGTAATATTCCACAATATAAATGAATGTAACACATCTTTACATGGTTAAAGTACTATTCCTCAACAACTGTCCCTTTTCATTGATTTTATCTTCTAGGAAACCTTGGATGGTTCATTATACATTCTAGCCGCTCTTTATTTTATGCTTTGATTTGGGTCGAATGCAGTGGGCATGCTTATGGCTATTCCATGCAGCACCAACTGTGGCTAAAGGAACCACTTCATGGGGCTCCAAGTTAAACTGTTGTTGGCTGGGCTCTTGGTCCTCTTTTCTATGGGCGTCTCCATAGGGCTGCAAGAGCAGCTGTGCTGCAGGAGGCAGTTGCCCAGCAACAAGAAGTAGAAGCTGGTCACTTCCTCTTGGGTCTGGAATCTGTCGGGGCATCATTTCTTCATACTCAGTGATCTAAGAGTCATAGAGCCTGCCAGATTCGCAGAGGAACTGTTTGTGTCTACCAGGGAACTGTAAAAGAGTCAGTAGTCCTTGTTAGCATTCAGGGGACTTTAACCCCTTTATCACATCAGCTTTAGACTTTCATTTTAAAAGAAAAAAAAATCAGTCATGGAAAGGGAGCCGATGTGGTAGGACACACCTTACCTGGATAGTTTAGAGAAGAGGAGAGCAAGTTCCAAGCCAGCCTGGGAAACATAGCAAGTCCATATTCCAAACTGAGGAAATGAAACAAAGCTTACAAACAACCCAAAACAAAGAGTTGGAGCTAGAACTCTACAGAGCACTTGTGTGGCATGTACAGACCCTACAATGGAACAGTTATTTTCAGGCTACGCACTCAGAGAGCTTCAGTTGCTGCAACTGCCATTTGGGGTAGATAGTAATTCAATAGTAATTCTCTAATGCTGGTGTAGTTTTAAAATTGGGTTTTGACCAACTATTTACCCTCAATTCCTCATCTGTAAAAGCTTATTTAAATGGTTACCTATCTTCAGTAAAGATTGCTTTTATATATTTCCTGTCATTGCATATTCTGCTAATTAAAGCTTTGTTGATAGTGCAGTTTTTGTTTACACAAAGAAAAGTCTGGAAATAAGAAAGACCTTTTAAAAACACAGTGGCTTCACAGAGACAGTACACTGCTAATAAACAACTAAAGGGAGTGTGTAGGGCCAATTAGATTATACCTAGTGGTGCCAATCTACAATGCAATATAAAAGGTTGACCACTTAGTTACGGAAAAATAATGTTGAAATGTGGCAGGCATTGTTTTTGTTTAGCCCTCAGAGCATCTCCTGAATTTTGCTTAAACTTTTAAAAGCAAAGTTTTACTTGGTAATGTGTTTTACCAAGGTGTTAAAGGTGCAAAATTATCAACATTTTGAGGACCAGCTCAGTTTGAGGGGAGTCAATGGAGTCAGTGAACTGTCACTCAACTTGACTTTTCTATCTGAGGAAGTAAAGCTTAATTCTCTGGGGCTGGCAAGGAGCACTAAACTTAACTCTCTGGGGCTGGTGAAAAAAGGAAAAAACACATACACTCTTAAGGTCTTCCTCTGTTCTCTTCCATTTCTCTATTTTTCCTTTACATCTTATATATCCCAACAAAATCTTTCAAGCAAC